ACTGTACAGTGACAGGCTAATGCTAGGACCACTTCAGAAGGAATGAGATAGCAGGGAATGGGAGAGCTGGGAAAGGGGTGGGGGAAGAAACTTTCCTTCCTGGGTGGCCTTCTATCCTATTTTGGGGAGCCCAATCCCAGCTCCTGCTATCCCCCCTCTGCATTCTCTCTCTCTGGCAAATGGTGATGTCCCAGCAGCCTTTGCAGCTTGGTGAACATTCTCAGCAGAAGATGGAGCTAGGAGCCTCCTGGCCACTATAAATTAAAAAGCCATTGATTTTTCCCATTAGCCTGGGCGGGGCTGGAGCAAGGAGATACATTTCAACCAGAGTCATGCTAAATAATTCACAAGGAGAAATGACATAGCCCACATTGTGGGAGGGCTGGAAGCCTGGTTACACCCCACTGTGCTGTTGTCCTGCAAGGACGGAGCTATCACTAAATGGCTATGATTAAATAGATGGGTGTTCTCTTGGCAGCTGCAGTGTAGAGGCCAGGCTGCATCACTGTCACAGAGACCCCCAACTCCTCTCACTGGTGTCCACCATACTTGCAAAAACCATACTGGACAATTTGACCCCAGAGGAGAAACCCTCACACTTTCCACATGAGCTGTGCTCACGCCCAATATGTACCTGTGAATGCAGGTAATTGGACTCAGTTTCTCAAGAGGTCCCTTCTAGTTCTATGTTCCTAAATACAGAGGATCTCCACTGATGTCCAAGGGTTATCCCAGTTTCAAGTAAGAGGAGCTGGCCCATGGTACACTAGGAGGCCAAGGGCAGCAGTAGAGTGTGCAGTACATACAGAGCTACCCATCTAGTTGCTTGGCTAGTGCAGGTAGAGGAGTAGTGCACCCTTTTAAGACAGCATAGGCCTCTGGCTCCACCTGGACTCAATGGGCTTCACTGGGATAAGTGAGTAATCTAAATAAGCCAGAACTCCCATTAATGCAGGGAAGGGGGAGGGCTGCAAAGGGTGAGTCAGCTGGCTTGGAGCAGTGCTGGCACCAAGATGCCTTGCATGTACCCCTGGGAATGGCCAATGGATAATCTGGCTGAAAGAAAGATCCAACTGGCATGGGCTTGGTAGTGAGGGAACACAAACAACAAGAAGACTGATAGCAAGAGGACACCCACCAGGCTATGATTAGGATCTGAATTCAAATCCGGGAGCAGAGATATTGCCAGGCACCACTTGCTGCGTATCAGCACTCACCAAGTCAGGTACCCAAAGAAGCCCACATGCTCACTTCAGCAATCATCCAGGCCCTGCAATTTCAGATAGCCCAGTACAGGACCAAGGCCAAGTGCTCTACAGCTGGTCAAGATCACTCAACAGTTGTCAGTAGCTGTGGGTACTTTGAAAAGCACCACATGCCCAGCCAGAGCCCAGTGCACACCTGGCTGCTGGTATTTATAGCCTACCTTGGACTAACTGTATGAATAATTGATCATTGACTGATTTCCTACAAGCAGCACACTCCAAGCCTGCATTTAATTGTTATTGTAGGGCCTACCTCAGATTTTAAATGACTCACTATGAAATTGGTGGCACAGCAATGCTGGGCTGTTAAGATGGGGAGTAAAGCTGTGGTCAGAGCATTACACTGGACTCTTCCAAAGAGGAGGTCATCAAGGAGCACATTTGTGATGGGCCGGCATCAGAAATGATGCTCAGGGGCAATCAGCATGGATTTATTAGGGGGAGATCATGTCAGACCAACCTGATTGCCTTTTATGATCAGGTCACGAAGGCCATGGACGCAGGTGTCGCGGTGGATGTAGTCTTTCTGGACTTCAGCAAGGCCTTTGACACCGTCTCTCACCCCATCCTAATTAATAAACTAGGCGACTGTGGCATAGATGCCTACACAGTCAGATGGATTGCAGATTGGCTGAAGGGTCGCACTCAGAGGGTGGTGGTGGATGGATCATACTCGACTTGGGGGGAGATGGGTAGTGGAGTCCCCCAGGGCTTGGTCCTGGGGCCTGCGCTGTTCAATTTCTTCATCAGCGATCTTGATGTTGGGGTGGAAAGCAACCTGTTTAAATTCGCTGATGACACCAAAATTTGGGGGGAGGTGAGCACGCTAGCAGGGAGAGAGAGATTGCAGAAGGATCTGGATAGGTTACAGGGGTGGGCAAACAGGAACAGGATGTGTTTCAATACGGACAAGTGCAGGGTGCTGCACTTGGGTAGTAGGAACCAGCAGCACACTTATACGATGGGGAACTCCCTACTTGAGAGCACGGAGGCGGAAAGGGATCTTGGTGTCATTATTGACTCCAAGATGAACATGGGCCGACAATGCGAGGTCATGGTTGGCAGGGCTAACCGGACCTTGTCGTGCATCCACAGGTGCATCTCGAGTAGAGCCAGGGAGGTGATCCTCCCCCTCTATGCGACGCTGGTCAGGCCGCAGCTGGAGTATTGTGTCCAGTTCTGTGCGCCCCATTTCAGGAGGGATGTGGACAACATGGAGAGGGTCCAGAGGAGGGCCACCCGCATGATCCGGGGACAACAGGGCAGACCCTACAGCGAGAGACTGCAGGACTTGAACCTATTCAGCCTCCACAAGAGAAGGCTGAGGGGGGACCTGGTGACCGTCTATAAACTCACTAGGGGGAACCAGAAGGGTTTGGGGGAGACGCTGTTTCCCCTAGCCCCTGCTGGCATAACAAGGAATAATGGGCACAAGTTGATGGAGAGGAGGTACAGATTGGACATCCGAAAAAACTACTTCACAGTTAGGGCGGCTAGGAGCTGGAACCAACTTCCAAGGGAGGTGGTGCTGGCCCCTACCCTGGGGATCTTTAAGAAGAGGCTGGATACCTACCTGGCTGGACTCATTTGAGTCCCGTTTTTTGTTTAGGGTTCTTTTGTTGTTCTCCTGCCCTGGCGGGGGGTCGGGCTAGAAGATCTATTAGGTCCCTTCCGACCCTAAAACTATGAAACTATGAGGTCACCTCTGTCTGATCCTTCTTCCTTTCCAGGCTGATTTCACTCTAAGACTGACTCTCAGGTTCCCATGAATGTGCTATACATAGTCCTGCTCCAGTGAGCCCATATCAGAAACAAAGGCTGCAAAGCACACAGTATATTGTATTCTGTTTCCAGGGCTCTGTTGTGCTGGGTGCTGTGTAACCACACAGTAAATGACAATTAAATATGTGGATTTTGCTTTGTAATACCACCATGCTGCCTTTGGAGGCTTAGTTCAACCTCTGCAATGGAAAAGCATCTGAACAAGTACTCAGCTTCCATCTTTTGGGGGCTGTGTATGGAAAGAGTCACCACAGCCAGAGAGAGAAAGGTATGTACGGATGCATGAGTGATTGGTGCCTCCTGAATCTGGGGGGCGCACCTGCAGAAGCCACCCACCCTGTTGGGAGGGGGGGGCACCAGCCCTACTGACAGCATCAGTGTTGGCTGTTAGGGGGGGGCACCAGCCCTGTCGGGGGGGGGCATATGCACCCCCGTGCACCCTTTCCAGTCGTCTATGTATGGAAGGCAGAAAGAGAACGGCCTGGGCTCCTCTGCTCACATGAAGTGCCCACTGCTTGGGAGAAGGGCCAGTACTGAAGTTTCATGCCAATGCAGAATGGATCCTGGCTCTGACCCATGGGGAAGAAAGAACCTGCCCTGGATATCTGAACTCCTTCAGAATGGATTTCAGAGGAATGGAACAGGATTCCTTCTTCTGCTTGGAAGAGACTATGAATCCTGGTGTTAGGAGGGAACCAGAACTGGATTTCTGACTCCCTGGAATGGACTGTGGGTGCAGTCCCTTGGTAGAGAAGAACACCAGTTGGGTTTCTGTGCTTGTCCCTCAGTGACCCCTTTACTAAGGGAATGAAAGCTCCTGAAAGATCAGAGAGGGGAACTGACAGCCCTTTTCTGTGTGGTTGTGTTCCCTGATGATCCTTTGAGTCACACCACCTGCCTTCTCATGGGGTCAAGGAGGCTGGGGTGGGGGTGGCAAGAAAACCTCTCAAGAGTGACACCATACTTGCCCACTGGATTACCTCAGTAGGCTCCTGTCACAGCACAAGGAGAGGTGCAACGGGTTCATCATATGCTTCTTCCCTTTGGGCCTCTAGAATAGGGACCCTCCTCTGACTGATGCAGGTCAGAGGAGGTTGCTTGCCAGCCCACTGCATCAGAGGGAAGGGGCAGTGGGAACTCTAGCATTGCTCTGTATCAGGGACAAGGTGTTTCTCACACAGGCACTTTGCAGGAAGTGTTGTGTTTGGTCCTTGTCCTCCCTCTCACCATGCAGGAGCTACCCAAAGTCATAGCACAAGATCATGGCCATTCCAATGTTTCCAGCACAGGAAGAGGAGGTGAACCTATATCCCACCAAAATCACCCATTTAATATGGGCTTAAATCCAAAGTCCTGGCCTTGATCTTAAAAGCCTCAGTAAGATGGGGTCTGCCTGATTCAGAGACTAACTCTTCCTCTCTGACACTTGAAGAAATGGCTGCACGCAGCAGGACTGCTGCAGCTGACAGAGCCCAGGGTGACAGTGCAGGAAATGCGGGGAGAGCAGGGCCTGGGGAGCTGTGCTCCGGGGCAGATGAATTACACACAGTAACATTGGGAACCTGAGAGACAGTGGACTGGTAGTGCATCACAGGGCAGGCAGGGTCTGAAAAGGTGTTATCTCAATTAAACGTGGCTGCAGTACTGGGGAGCTGTGAATCCCTGAAGTCAAGCCAAAGGAGAACAGTCTTGAGCAGTAGCTGCTCAGGGCTGAGTCTTCTGCATGAACCAGGGCTGAGGCTGGCAGCTGAAGAGTTAACCTCCCAGCCTCTCAGCATGAATCTAGAGCTATTAATACCCACACACTGGTTTATCTGTCAGAGCCGGCTGCTCTGTCAATGAGACAAGCCCCGCAGAGCTGCGTCTCAGCAGGGCCAGAACTTTTCTTTGTGAGAGCTTGTGGGCGCCTCGCCGGACTGGGCTGCTCTCCCAACCCTGCTCCACACACAGCCACTGAGGGTCCACTTCCCCACAACGCACTGCTGCCCTCCTGTCTCCAGCCCCACGGATCCATCAGAGCCCTGGCTGTTGCTGATGAGATCCAAGCAACCTGGAGGCTGCAAGGGGAAACTTTCCCACAGGCAGGTTGTGCTGCAAACTCCAGCTGAATTTGACCACTGGAAACGGAGGATCTGCCTTTGGGCACTGGTTCATCTGAGACCTCCTGTCCCTGCTGGACAAGTGACATCAGCGCCTCAGATCCAGGCACAAGATGAGATCTGGCACTGGTCCGTGGAGATGGGGGGCCATGTTCTTACACCTCCGCCTCTGAAGAGCAGCTGGATGCAGTGGAGTTGGGAGCCTTTGTGCTGCTCTTGAAACTCAGGGCTGAGGATTTCTTCTCCTCAAACCCCTCAGCTCAGATTCTCCCACCTCAGGTGACAGGCTGAGCCCTGAGCTCCCCTGCTCCATCTGTACCCCCTGAGGGCTGAAGTCCTTCTGAGGGGACGATCACATCTCCTCCTTCACATAGACCACACTGTAGCAAGAGCTCTAAAGATGGCCTCTGATAGGCATAAGGGCATAGGGTCCCATCCAGACACTCAGTGAGGCTGTGCGGGACGGGAGGAGCCTCGATGACTGAGAGTTTGTTGGGACTAAGCCACTGCACTGAGTGAGGAGCCAGCCCGTCTCCTGGCTGAAAGAAGTGAGGGCATGTGGATGCCTCCTGGAGGGTCCTGGGTTAGGAAGAGCCAGGAGCTGTCTCTGCTGGAAGAAGGAATGGAGAGTTTTGGAGACAAAGAATGAGATGACGCCTCCCGGCAGCTGAGCCAGGACCCAGGAGCACGTTGACTCTGGCTTTGCCAGCCACAGGGGAGCATAGTTAGGTGGAAGAGGATGCCCACATCTGTTTGGCATTCCCAAGCCTGGCATTCCCCTGTCCTGGAGCACTGGCTCTGAGAGTGCAGAGATGGATTCATTCTGCTTTGTCTGCTTCCAAAAAGAGGAGCTACAGCCTTTGCAACTGAACAGGTATGTAAGACATCCAGCCATGCCTCCCCCCTTCCTCAGGGCTGGTGAGGGAACAGGAGGCTAGTAGCTGGTCAAGCTTCATGTGGAGGGGAAGCTTCTAGGATAATATCTGAGGGGCTGGGGGAAGAGGCTGTAGGTGGAAAGGGGACAGGTGTACAGTACGTGATTGGAGAGTGGGGAGTGCACATCTATCCTTTGGAGCAGGGTTAACTCTCAGCATTGCCCAGGGTCAAGTCTATTATCCTCTATTGGTCAAAAGTCTCCTCCAAGCAAGTGCTTCATCTTCTATTCAAATGTGGACCTAGCAGAGGTGATATGAGCACCTCTCCATAGGGAACAAGGCATGTAGAAACTCCAGCGCAGGGGAGAGAAGCACTGTGTGTGTGCGCATGCACGTGTGTGTGTGTGAACTTCCCAGGCCATTTGCGCAGGATTAGGTACATGCTTGTGTGTCTTTTCCGATCTGCCTGTGTATGTGTGCATCTGTCTGAGTGTGCCTGACTACCTGAATGTGTGCACAATGTGAGTGTCTGTGCCTATAATGTGGCAGGAGTGTGTTGTACCCAGGAGTGCTGGCAGTCCAGGGATGTGGTGGTGTTTTGTGTACACACACATCTGTCTTGGTGCCCACGTGGCTGTATGTGCATCTGCTCTACCTCACACAGGAGCCCTGACCAAGCAGTACACACATACTGTGTTGTTGCAGGGGTGACCCTGCCTACGGGTGGATTAGACCCCTGGCAGCCTTTCCACTTCTCTCCCTTCCTGCCCCCACACTGGAGCTCATACCCACTGGCAGGGATGAGCCCTATGCAGGGCAGTGCCCCAAAACAAGGGATTACCAAAGGATCTGTGTCATAAGGGATGCCCCAGGGTTTTCTGCTCCTGTCCCTTGCAGCCTGCTCTCAGTGCTGCCCCTGTTCTGTCAGGGAGGTGGATGGCACTGTCTGCTCAGTCCCTTGTGCTGCTTTCTATCCTGCAATAGTTATCCATGTCAGCTGGAGGAATGGCTTGGCTTCTATAGCACTGCCTGGCAGACACAGTGGGGTTCAGGAGGTATTCTCTAGTGAGCTGTGGAGGCCTGGTATCTGCTATGCCAAATATTTTCCATGCCATTCCAGTCTGAGAGTGAGATGCAGGATTCACAGGCTGCTGGACTATAGGAAATGGGTGAAATGCAGCCTCCTTTGGACTAGATGCATCAGCAGCTAACAGTGCAGTCACTTAGCATAGGAAATAGAAGAGAGCTTAGACATTTGCAGCTGCACTGTAGGAAGGCAGAATGTAATTAACCGCATAGATCTGCTCCAGGTTAACCTTCTGCTGTCTTGTGAATAGTGCTGTTGAACCCTTAACAGCAGCATGTGATCAAGGCCAGAGTTTCATATCCACCCCACAGTACCTTTCCTGCTAAAAGTGACCTGCCCAGAGGTGGAGAGAGACATTTGTATTTGGTGCCTTTTGTGAGGTAACCTAAGCTTGATTTTCAGAAGTGTTGAGTGCCCAGATCTCACTGACTTCAGTAGGGACCCAAGTGCTTGGCATCTCTGGTTAGCAATACTCCAACCTCTCCAGCTAAGCTTCCACAAATGGAGATCCCTAGAGTTTGAGGTCATTTGTCCTTGTGTCCCTTGGAACCAGTGTGATGTCAGCTGCAGTGTCACAGCAGAGCAGCTAACCAGTCACAACTGGTTAGCTGCTCTGCTGTGACACTGCAGCTGACATCAGACTGGGCCATAGCAAATATGCTTGAATAACCCCTTGTTCTGGCCCCAGCATGAGCCCCCCAGAAGCCGGGCCACTCTACAGGGTGCCCGCTAGAGCCATCACTGGGGATCTGGAGCTGGCCAGCTCTGAAATGGAAAAAATCTGGTGGGAAATCAAGTTCATTGTCAAAGCCATTCTCTTCTCTCTGCTCCTCCACATTCTCATTGGAGCAGAGTAGTCTTTACTGTACAGTAAGCTCATGCTCATTGTCCCTATTTCTGTTCCTGTCATACATAGAGCCCCTGGCTGAAATCAGAGACACCCCGGCACTAGAGAAAGAGTTAATTTTGGAGTGCATGAGGTTAACTGTCCTTTCCCCCCATCCCAGGCTCTGGAGCTCCTCTCCCTCTGCTTCCTCTTGGCTGTTCTGAGACTGGTTTTCTATGAGTTGAACATTCCCCTCCCATCCTGCATTCCTGACTGGTAACAAGGATGTGTGTCCAAACTCCCATCACTTAGATTAGCAAGCCAGACGGCAGGGACACAAGGTGTGAACATAAGCATATGTCTTCCCGTGCTGCTTCTCTGAGGCACCAGGACTCAACTAGCTGCCAGGAGTCTGGTTGGGATGTCCCTCCCTCCATGATTTGGAGCTGCCATGCATCCTTTCACTGACCTTTAGCTCCTTCTTTCCTTTCCCATTCCAGTGCCTCCTTCCCAAGCCTGCTCCTCTCCCTATAGGCTGTTGAGAATCCTGTTCCCTTCCTGAGGAGGAGCATGCCATTCCAGTCACTGAAGAGAATCAATTCTGGGGGGGTAGGGAGGAAGCTCCATTTCTCATTTATCTCTCTTCATTCTGCCTTGAGGTGAAAGGGAACACGCGTAGGCACTGGGGGCAGCTTTTTCTATGTTCATCATGACTTGCAGATGACACAAAACTGGGAGGGGCTGCAAATATTTTGGAGGAGAGAAGTATAATTCAGAAGGATTTTGGTAGATGTGAAAACTGGGCACTAGGCAACAGAATGAGATTCAACAAAGACAAATGTAAGGTGCTACACATGCAGATGGAAGATAATCGGCAAGGCACTCACATTGCCAGGAAGGATCTGGGGGTTTTGTGGATCACAGACTCAATGTGAATCAGCAACTGTGATGAAGTTGCTAAAAAAGTAAATGCAATTTTAGGCTGCATTGATACGAGTATTATATGCAAGACAAGGGAGGCCATAGTAGCGTTCTGCTCAGTGCTGGTTAGGCTTCAGCCAGAGTACTGTGAGTGGTTCTGGTCTCTCTATTTTAAGAAGGATAGAGAAACTGGAAAGCATGCAGAGGGGAACAACAAAGATAAAGGAGTTGAAAAGCAAAGTGTATGGGGAAAGGTTGAGAACTACAGATGGCTAGTTTGGAGAAAAGGAGATTAAGCAGGGATATGTTAGCAGTTTTCAAATAACTGAAAGGCTGCCATAAAGAAGAGGGAACACAACAGCAGTCTTTTGCCACAGATGGCAGGACACGAGGCAGTGGGTTTAAATTGAAGCAGAGTGGGCTTAGATGAACTCTCAGATAAAGGTTCCCAACGGTAACAACAGGACAGTGGAACAAGCTGCCTAGGGAAGTTGTAGAATCTCCTTTATTGGAGGTTTTCAAGAAGCAGCTGGATAGGCATTTCTCAGGGATGGTTCAGGAATATAGCATGTTTGCATCAGTGCAGAAGGCTGGACTGGATGACCCTTGTGGTCACTCCTACACCTATGACTCTGTGACTTTGCTGACCTGCTTCCTCAAGCTTTTGACTATTTGAACATAACTCCCCTTATAAGGGCATTTCATTCTCATCAGAATGGGGGGCTATTAGTACTGGCCAGTATCAGGTCCTACCCACACCCTACCCATCTCTGTCCCCCAGTCCTGTGCTGCTTGCCCCTTACCACCATTCCTGCATCTTTCAAGTGTATGGAATTCCCTCTGACTGGCATGTCTCAGGGAGGGGGCAGAATGTCTCTACGGAGTTTGTCTAGGGCTGTGAGATATTCTGATGGGAAGGTGACTTCACTCCAGCACAGTGGCACCTCAGGGCTAAGCAGAGGGCATTTGGGTTTTTCTATGCCTGTGTGCTGCTGGTGCAGGAAACAGTTAAAAGCCACCATGCAGTATGGCCAGCAGCTCTGGGGCTTGGGTCAGCAGAGATGGGGTAGACGCTTGTCTGTATGTTTCTGATGAAAAGATGGTGGGGATGCCAACCTGGGTGACCAAGATGAGTAGCACTCAGTGCTGCAGCTTTTCTGTTCCAGCACCCTTGCCCCTGAAGGCTAATGCTTCCCCCTTTACATTGCTCTCTGTTGCCATTTGGGCCCTAAGCTCTGACCCATTCCCTGAGAATGCCCATAACAGCATCAGTGGGGAGTGGAGCCACAGCATCAGAATGATGGTCCCCCCACCATGGGATTATTGGGGTTGCTTAGGAAGCGGGAAATACAAATGAACATTTGCCCCTATGTGAGGACCCTTGTGCTGAGCTACTTGGTCCTACCTTGGGATTTACACTCAGGTGCCCGCTCCAAACTGAGGGCTCCAAAAATAGGGAAGGATCATCTCAGTGTGCTAGAAGTACTAGATCATGTCACACCTGGTGAGAGCAAGGAGCACCACTACATGCTGTCTTGTGCTCAGAAGCTGATCTAGGGTTGTCCTGGGTATACCAGGCAGAGTCCTTGGTGGGGAGCCACTGTGGCTCAGCTGCCCAGAGTGTGTGTATGGGCAGCTGTCCAGGGGGCAGTGTAAAATGGGGCCATGCCCCACTTCTACTGGAGTGTGGACATGAGGGGCCACCTTCTGGTGGCCAATGTGCAGAGGCCCTGAATAGCCACTTGTGTGCAGAGTGATGGTGACTCCAGCTCTGCATCCATTGACTCCAGAGAAGTTCTACATGGTCTGCAGTCTACTAGTAACCCCATGGTATCCTGCACTGCTTGGTTAGGAAGTAGGAGATATAGGTTAGGAAGCAGGAGGTCCTTATGTGAGGGCCCCTGTGCTGAGCCTGGACTTCTTCAATTCTTCCAGTCAAAGGAAAGGGCCCAGGCAGGAACAGGTGCATCGTACAGATCAATACCTGACTGTGCAAGTGGTGTCGCTAGTGGGGATTTGGCTTCTTAGACCATGGGATGTTGTTCCAAGAAGAAGGATTGCTGGGAAGAGATGGGATCCAAATGACGAAGAGAGGGAAGAGCATCTTCATAGACAGACTTACTACCCTACTGAGGAAGGCGTTAAACTGGGTTTGCCAGGGGATG